TCAGTGCCATGTGTCGTCTCGTTGGATGGCAATCAGGCGGTGCGTGTACCGTTGATGGAGTGCGTTGAACGTACCAAAGAAGTCGCCCAGGCGATGGCGGAGAAGAATTGGGAATTGGCCGTGAAATTGCGTGGACGCTCCTTCGAACGCAATCTGGAAACTTACAAAATGTTGACGCGTCTGAAGCCGCCAAAGGAATCGATCGAAAACGCAAAGGTGAGCAACAATTGTTGGGTGGAATATATTAATGGTTTTTTTTTTTAACTTTTTCTGTTTCTTTAAGGAGGGTTTTCGCATGGCTGTCATGCATATTGGCGCACCCGCTTGTGGTATGAATGCTGCCGTGCGTAGCTTTGTGCGCAACTGCATTTACCGTGGTGACACTGTTTTTGGCGTGCATGACGGCATTGAAGGTCTGATTGCTGGCAATATCAAGGAGATGGGTTGGTAAGTAGTTCAAATCTCAGTTCTCGCATTGTTTCAGCATTAAAGCCATGAACACTTTTAGGTCAGATGTAACTGGTTGGGTTGGTCAAGGTGGTGCTTTCCTCGGCACTAAGCGTACACTGCCCGAGGGCAAATTCAAGGAGATTGCCGCACGCCTCAAGGAGTTCAAAATCCAAGGCTTACTTGTTATTGGTGGCTTTGAGGCCTACCACGCTTGCGGTCAGATCTCCGATCAGCGTCCCAACTATCCTGAATTCTGTATCCCAATGGTGGTTATACCATCAACTATCTCGAATAATGTTCCTGGTACTGAATTCTCACTCGGATGCGATACCGGTCTCAATGAGATTACAGAGATTTGCGATCGTATCCGCCAATCGGCACAGGGCACAAAACGCCGTGTCTTCGTCATTGAGACAATGGGTGGCTATTGTGGTTATCTAGCCACTTTGGCTGGCTTGGCTGGTGGCGCTGATGCTGCATACATCTACGAGGAGAAATTCTCCATTAAAGATCTGCAACAAGATGTCTACCATATGGCCTCGAAGATGGCCGAAGGTGTCCAACGTGGTTTGATATTGCGCAATGAGAAGGCTTCTGAAAACTATAACACTGATTTTATACACCGTTTGTACTCGGAAGAGGGCAAGGGTCTATTCTCGTGCCGTATGAATATTTTGGGTAAATGAAATGTTTGAATTACGCGTTCTATTTATGAAATACAAATGGGTCCTTCTTTGTTACTGTGTAGGTCACATGCAGCAGGGTGGCTCACCAACGCCTTTCGATCGTAATATGGGCACCAAGATGGCTGCCAAGTGCGTTGACTGGCTGAATGAACAAATCAAGAGCAACACCAAACCAGATGGCACTGTGCGTTGTGAAAGCAGCGATTCAGCTTGTTTACTCGGTATTGTGCGTCGTCAGTACCGTTTCACACCTCTAGCAGATTTGATTGCCGAAACCAACTTTGAGTGAGTAGAGTTGAAAAATGTAAATTTCAGCCCAAATATGCGAGTGCGGCCGAGGCTATGTTCTAAAGTGGCACCAGCCAAGTCAAGAATTGCACCTGACTACCCTGATATGATCCGCGGAGCAGGCGGTATGAGGTACCAAGCACTGCGGGTTAGGAATTGAAGTGGA